CAAATGGATCAGTTAGAATCAGAAAACCCAGAAGTGTATGGTTTTCTTCGGTCTGGTTACGGCGTAATACGACGGAGCGACAAGTACTGGTCCGGTATATCATCTGATCTTGCTATAGAACAAGTGTTGATGAGGAGCATAAAGTCAACCGGTGGACTTACGAGAGGAAGGGGAATGGCAGAAATGCAGCGCGCCCAATGGATCTTGTCCATGCCAGATTGTGCGCAAATGAATGACGCAATGCAGGATCTCACAGGAGTCAACTTCAACACAAGTGGACAACACAAAGAAGACGGCGAGGCAAGACGACAACGTGATTCCAAAGATGCCAAGATCCTGTCAAAGTTTCTGTCCGAGAGGAATCCATTTATCGGGGACAACAGTTTAAGAAACATTGAAACAGGAGTTACGGCGGAAACAACAGTAAACGTAGACAGGGCGAAAGAGTTAGGACAAAAGATTCTGAAAACGATGGATAACCAGAAAGCTGATGAGTATTCATTCAAGAAGAAACAACAAGCCGTCACACTTAACGAGAAGTCCTCACTCAAAATTGAAGGTGATTCTATAACCGTTGATCCACAATTGCTGTTTCAGAGGTTCATAGCAGCTGCCAATGGCGAGTACGATGACCAGCGCGATCTATTTACATACGAACTGTGCAGTTATCCCAGCTCATTGTTTGATTCGTCGTGGCTGATGCGCATGTCACAGAAGTCTTCACTTGGGGATTACATCTGGAATCTCGGCGATTGCGTAGGTATTGAGTTGGAGACGGACAATGTCAGGCATGTCATTGACGGAGGGTCTCTCCTGCATCGTATCCACTGGGTATCTGGGCAAACATTTGACGGGATATGCCAACGGTACGTCGACTACATTGGATACCGCTATAAGGATGCTGTGGTTGTCTTCGATGGATATAATGCAGGACCTGACACTAAGGACGCCATCCATCTTCGACGAACCAAAGGCATCGTAGGTACAAAAGTATCATTCAACATGAACACTCCCTTCCGTTCCAAGAAAGATGCGTTTCTAGCCAATAACGAAAACAAGCAAAACTTTCTAAATATGCTCAGCTCAAAGCTTAACGAACATGGAATAGCAACAAAACATGCAGCCGCGGACGCCGACGTTTTAATTGGACGCACCGCTATTGCCTCATCCAGAACAAAAACTACCGTCTTGCTCGGAGAAGATACTGACCTGTTAGTGCTTCTTTTGCAGTCAGCTGAACCACTAAACAACAACATCTTTTTCATGTCTGATATCAAGGGAAACAGTAAGGTCAAAGTGTGGGACATTGAAAAAACCAGGCGTGTATTGGGAATGGACACGTGCAAGGTTTTACCAGTTATCCATGCCATAAGTGGCTGCGACACGACATCACGTTTGTTTGGATTAGGGAAAGGAGTGGCAATGAAAAGAATCTCAGGTAGTGAGCACCTCGTATCGGTGGCAATGGTCTTCCTTAGCAAAAACAGCACGACTGAAGATGTAACAACGGCGGGAGAACATATCATTTCAACTTTGTATGGTGGCACTGAACTCGAAGGACTTGACACATTAAGATACAGAAAGTTCACAAGTCGCGTATTAACCAACAAAACGTTTCTTCAAATTCACACTTTGCCTCCAACATCAGCTGCTGCCGCGTTTCATAGCATGCGAACCTACCTCCAAGTTCAAGCATGGACGGCAGCGGATGATTCTGAGAAACTTGACGCATGCGCATGGGGTTGGAGTCTTTCAAATGGTAGACTTATGCCTATTACAACTAATAAAGCTCCGGCTCCTGAAAGACTCATGCTTATTATCCGTTGCAAGTGCAAGACAAATTGCGATACCCGAAGGTGCACGTGCCGGAAACATGGCTTAGAATGCTCCGTAGTGTGCGGTGACTGTAAGGGGAACAGTTGCACCAATTCACGTAACTGTGACGTCCTTGACTAATTACGTAACTTTGCGACTTCTATTGAACTAAAGTGGATAATGTTGAAAGTACTGAGTATCAATACATATTTTAGTTCATGGACGTAACGCGATTGGCATACGAATTATCAAGTGTTTTAGCTTCTTATCATAATTTGCATGGACGTATTTAAATAGTATTTATTGAGTTAACTCGTCCATATCACATTCTGTTCGAGGTTAGCAGAAACAATCGTGCAGCTACATGTGTAATCATAAATACTAATCAATCTTGAATTGTTAAATGATACTTAGTGGTGCTTTTTAATAGCAAACATCATTCATACCTGTTGGTGAAATTTAGCATATTATTGAGAACAAACATTCTAGTCCCGGTACTTCTTTGATGTTTCTTAAAAATTATATTTGTTAATTCGACGATTAAATTATTAAACAATGATACATATATTGTGGTACTATGCGTTTTGCCGTTTTTGCTTTAATTATCCCACAACAATGTGATGTGGTTACAAGATTGTAGAAGAAATATTTAACTTATTAAAAAAATCCAACACACTTTGTAGCATTTGCGGAGTTGTAACAGAAAAGTATAAAGATGTCTAATATAATTTACATCTAAAAACATTATTTTATTTAAGACTAGCAAAAATCTATGCACGCCGTCATTGATAATAACGTGGCGGGAAAATGAAATTTGGACGTGTTTTTTAGTAGTCTTAAAGAGAAAAATATTTTTGTTATTTCTTGCATTACAAATGTTTTGCAATATTCTGTTACGTCTCGGCAGGTGTAACAAAATGATGTTAGAATTTTGAAAATCGGTCACTTATTTTGTCCACAATCCCAAATTTAGGAAAACCAAACAAGTGGAAAGACCGTAGTGACCTTTGACCCCCCAGAAAAAAGTTTCCCGAATTTTGCCAGTGTCCGATTTTTTTTGGGGACATAAAGGACACCCCAATATTGCCAAAAATACATAAAACTAATTTGTTGCAGTTAGTTTTAGGTTTGGCTATTTTTTTACGTAATTTGATTAGCCTATACGTTGATATAGACAATACCGTAGAAGATAAAAAACATATAGCTGGAAATTCTGCCAATCTAAAATAACGGCCTTCTTGGTAATAATATTATACATACAATGACGTCACATCATTAAGATTTTCGTTCATTCTATTTTCTGTTCAGTACCAAGAACATAAACAAACGCAACCACGATAGTAGTCAATAATGATCTTTCAAAACACGTTCATGTAAGTTTTGATAGCTTTGAACACAAAATTAAAATAATGATATAGTAATGATGTGCAACATTATTCCCGTAGATTTAAGGTTTGTAAATGTGTTCATATGTAAGTACAAATGTAGGGGAATTAAAACATGAAGTGCAACAAAATTGTGATTCACTGACGTAGTGATACGAAAATCCGTATGTATCATACATGTAATTATATTTGTGATACTCACAAATATCTTGGTGCTATATCCTTTAAGTTTGAACTCACGCGACACTTAATTTACTCATATCGTGGTACCTTAATTAAACCTAATATGAAAACCTACCTAAACGAAATTGGGTTCTGTATTGGGACATAACGTTATAATATATTGAGATTATATATCTACCTGATACCTGTATATAATTATCAATATTTATCATTTACCTGTCTATAATAACCACTCCGTGCCGAGCACTTCTTCTATAGTAACATTATACCTGTTTTTAAGTACCAATCCGTGTCCTTTACCTCTTTATAATAACCTCTCCTTGTCGTATACCTGACTAAAGCTAACACCATTATGTCTGTTTTTAATTAACTACCCTTGCCGTACACTTTTTTTGTAGTTATTAACATTAAACATGTCAATAATTACCTATCCGTGTCCTTTACCTCTCTGTAATAACCCCTCCTTGTCGTATACCTGGCTATAGCTATCAACTTTACACCCGATTATAATAATCTATCCCTGTATATAATAACCCCTCCGAGCCGTATAGTTGTACTAATAGACATTATGTGTGTTTTTAATTAGCCATCCATGCTGTACGCTTTTTTGTAGTTATCAACAGTATACATGTCCATAAATACCAATCAGTAACTTAATTATGTCTGTATGTTATCCGGTACGTTGTATACGTCTTTGTATTACCTGTCCGTACATTATGCATGTATATAATTACCAGTCGGTATCTTAAACACGTCCATTGTAACCTTTTAATTATGCAAACTAACAATGCCTCGGGAAATAATGTTCCTACCTTTTTACACGTGCTTGTTTAAGATGGACTTAAGTAATTAAAGTTAAAATAGTATCGGGAGTATTTCACTTGTCGCCAAATACAGAGTGGATTGTAAGTTAGTGTGTGTTTGATGTAAACTAATACATTTTTGTTTTTTTTGTGTATATGTGCTTTCTTGTTACACACTGACATGTGCACATAAACGAGTAAACATTCTATCAGAAAGAATGTATTTGAGAAATAGAAGTGATGCAATGAGATCAGGGTAGATTCATCTAAAGTGAAAGAGGTGTTTACGTGTTTGTACGTTACAGAAAATTGAAATATATGATAAGAGCAAAAAGCAAATCACATGAATGTGGAGCAGAAAAACAAACTATTCAGTAATCGGCATTGTCAATATTCTGTTGTATTAACGACGCTAGCTTAATTGCTTAAGAATAAGAATTGATAAAGTACAAATGTATATACATCATATAATATTTCTAATAACTTACTTTTTGTCTTAGAATATACCATGGTTTGATATGCCACCTTCCACCGGTTGAAATGGCTCGACGTGCACAAATCCTGCCAATGTGTATTACATTTACCTATACAGTTTACTTATATCATACATATATCATTGATATCAGCTAACGTGTGACTACTAGAATATACACACAAATAGGAAACGTTGGCTGAAAAATAAATTTTGCTTAATTTAAAGAAAACATAGTGTTTCTCTTTTTGTCAATGAAGCTATGAACAGTCCTGGAACTGAAGAAAATGTGTAAACCGGTCATGTGGTAGAAGTTTGAAAAAATAAAATAATAGTAATGCCTCTAGTACAAAATGCACCTTTATTATTTAAAGTCAAGTAACAGAAAATAAAGTAAGAAAGAAAGTACTTCCAAATAATCGACGAATCTTATTGAACACAATCCGTAATAATAGCTGGAGTATTACTGCGGAATCATACGAGATAAATATTGAGGAAAACATATCGATTTTATATTGTAATACTAATCAAGTCGACATTCGTATTTTGAAGCTTGATATACATCTGAACAATCCCGTTAAAGCTGAAGTAAAGTATATGGCTAAACTTTTGTTACTTCTCTCTGTATTCTGACAACATATCAATAAAGCTGGAGACACAAGTGACATGTATACAAATTCGTTCTGTTTTTATAGAAAATAACATGTATAATGCTGAAGAAAAATAGGGTTCACATTTGCTATCGTTATATACAATAAAAGTTAATAGATTTATACATTAATTGTATAGCCGATATATGAACAAACTGCCTTGATTCGTTATAAAAAAAACCATAAAACATAAAACATTCAGAGTTGAGAAATCATATACCATGTCCTTTTCCTTTCTCCCTATGGTCAGTACATTTGCACCTCTGGATGAGATATATACACCTTTGTGGCGGATTTTTACAACCCCACTATGGCTAAAGGTCATAATTAGATAATTAGCAAAACAGTGTGTATTGATGTACATTTTGTAATCTAGATTATGTAAATTAACTTGTGATCAAATGTATGTCATGTAATAATTTGTCATTAAATGTCACCTTCGGTGGCCATTTTCAACTTCAATTTGCTGTTGGGTTATCTTTGAGTTGAAGGAGCATAAAAGGCAGCTAATTTATTAGCTTAATTTATGCCTTGAAAAACTCAAAGAAACCTATTGATCTCAGTTCATGATTATACTCCCAAATCATTAGGGAATTAATTTTTAAATTATGTTAGTATGATTTTATATTAAAAAGTAGGCATTTCAAATTCAAATTATTTTATATAATCGGATTAGAAACTTTTCCTCTAATTTGATTGGTCAAGCCATATTAGGGAACAATCTTAACACGCATGCGCACTTTGTAGCGTCACTTCCAGCTTAAGCAGAAAAAAGTTTGCGTTCAGCCTCCACGAGAGAACTTTATTTATCTTATAAATAGTTAAACAGTATCTTATACAGCAGTTTACGGGATCAAATTTAAACCCACCCTCTTTCCACCCTTCTAAAAAATTTCATTTCTTCATTTTGGGCGGATTTTTACAACCCCACTATGGCTAAAGGTCATAATTAGATAATTAGCAAAACAGTGTGTATTGATGTACATTTTGTAATCTAGATTATGTAAATTAACTTGTGATAAAATGTATGTCATGTAATAATTTGTCATTAAATGTCACCTTCGGTGGCCATTTTCAACTTCAATTTGCTGTTGGGTTATCTTTGAGTTGAAGGTGCATAAAGTATGTTTATAGTAAACCTTTTAATTCAAATGAATAATACCAATTCATAGTTACATTACAAAGAAAAAATACAACATTATAAAAAGTACATGCATTCATTTATCACCGTTTGTATCTGTGTTTAAATTAAGTACAATAAAGTTATCAAAATAATGCATCTCTCGTTAACATTATCAAGAAGTTAAGAAATCACTTTTTTTTGTGTGATATTACAACGTAAGATGTGTATCCAAGCGAGATATGGATCATTAACTATGCTGATACGTGCTGCCCCTGAAATGGAAAAAAGGTGATGAATTATAACAATAAATTAGCATCTGAAACCTGAAGATATTCCTGATGTCTGCCAAAATACAAATATAAATCTTTTCCTAAACTTCATACTTTGTTAATACGATTTTGCATCATCAACTGTAAACTTTTATTTGAAATGTATGTTTTCTTTAGAGTTATTAAAATATGTTTGTGTTTCGTATCTTTTATATTCAAAATAGGCGTAACAATTCTAGTGATACTGTTATACTTGCAAAGGATCAATTTTTATTCGCATTGCTGGATCTTTCATGTTGCGTCGTTTTCGTATAAAAAGATGAAATATTTTCAATAAATCTATGTTTTATCTTTAATTCTACATTTATCATGGTTTGATTGCCTAATCCTAAATATTTATGACGTTGATGATTTGTATTCTACGTTGAAAACTAACGCTCAATAATAGCCGTTATACATAAACATAAGCATTATATTAAAACATTGCAATGACGCGTTACGGTAATAAAATAAATTGGGCTCGAATTCGTGATAAAAGAAAGTATAGGCCTGTATCTGTTCTATATTTTCCTTGTGGTTTGAATTTGTTCGCGAAATATCAATGTATTAACTTTAATTTCGTTTTCAAAGCACCAGATCTCCAAGATATGAAAACACTGAACTTACATTTTGTGTTTCCTACGTGCTACATTTGTCCCCAAAGCGGAAAATAACGCATACAAATGCCTATCCCGATGACTCCTGTGACAATACCGATGATAGCCCCACTGTTTCTACAATAAACAAGTAATGTTATCGAATAAGTCTATGCTCGATATTTCATTTCACCACATTTAATTTAAAGCAACCAAAAGGATGAGACAGCAGGCAAAACTGGCTCCAAGAATACAGGTGGTCACCTATTGCCCTATGAAACCTTTTTGAGTAAGGACTAAGTGGATAGTTGATATCAGCAGAAAGGAAATCTAATTTCTGATGCATACAATTGAGGTAATTTGTGTGTCGGTCGCTACCACTACTACATTTGAATACTGAGATACTTTACTAGATAGGATTGCATCAAGATTTGGTTTTACATAAACATAACCTGGTGCACTGTTTTTCAAATTTGACCTTTTAACTTCGATGCTATGGAAGGCAGGGCATTTCCAATGGGGTCCTTCAATATGTATGTGACATCAATCGAACCAGGATTTTCTTTCAATGAGCAATGCACTGAATTGTTTCCGAGTTCGAAGAGTCTAGCAACTTACAAGCCGCCCGTTGACGCTCCCCCGGTACTGCCACCGCCATAGTAGTAGCCAGAGCGGTAGTATCTGACTGAACGTCCTCCACTACGGCGTCCATCAACATCTGCAAACCAGAACAGAACAGTTAGAATTCAGAGCCACCACACACAGACTATCCAGTGTATGAAACTGACCGATAAACAAATCTGCCAATCAAACGAGTTGTTGTGGAATAAAATTATATTATTCCTATAAAGTGTCTTCTGATCTATCGACGCACGATGTGTTTGAACATTTACAATATCATTACATATATATCCACGTGATTCTATACATATTTATGTCTTGAATATAGACAAGTGGCAAAATTAGTTGTGATCAATTTAAATCCAGCTTTAATTACTGTCCAAACGAGATTAACAGAAGGAAATAGTGCAGCGAGACGTTTTTATTAACTATTGACCTACCTTACCGCTGTATGGCTTAGTATGCTCTTCAATATGTGTGCTATTATACATTGTATGTAGTTATACTGTATGTTTGGTGCAAATTGACTCAGTTGTGGACATAAAGCAATGTGAATTTCAATAATTTGTTTTGAAATTATGTGTCAGTTATCTCCCTTTTAACGTAGGTTTACAAAAAGCACAAATATTATAATAATTATAATGACTTCATTTCGCCTCATTATTGTACAAAATATAAACACTAGTTATACATGGGAGACACACGGTAGTGTTAACGTTGTCATCGTCAAACTCCACAACAAAGAATCGATGATAAAATAAAGATAATGATAAATGTCGATTAAGTATATCAAAATGTCAATAATACTATTTCTGCACGTACCATATAGTTACTTAAAATAATGTCTGTACAAGCTTAGGAACACATCATCACAATAGATAACATAATTATGTATTGGTAACGCCTAGGATAGACTATATGTAGTAGACTCGGCTGTCTTCCATCTTTGAAACTACCAGGCATATTATAATACATCCTGTAATGGTGTGTAATGTAATATATGTGTCAAATAGGCTCCATGAAGTACTTCAAAACAAATATCAACATATCAGACAAAGTTATGAAGCGTAACCGGAAAGTGACATAAATCATACGAACACAACTTCAATAAGTAGTAGCAACATTTTAATCGCCAGTATCGTCAGAACTATATTGAAACCCTAAGTAAATAACATTTGAGGGTGTGCTTTATATATTCAGTGACACTCACTATGCAACACTATATTCTCATGTATATTCCTTTTGTCGTCTTTGTACATTTTCTCCAATAATCTACTTAATAAGTATTGAGGTAACGGTTCAAGATCACTTCAGTTTCTACGTTTAAACTTAGCTATTTTGAATTACATGTAATGTGCTGGTTTGTTGGTCATGTTGTTGTATCATGGTAGATAACTCTGTTCAACTTATATTTCACACTTCCTCTTTTGTAGCCCCGTTTTTTCTTATATATATAATAGTTACATTATTGTTTTAGTTTCAAGCTGAAACAAGTTTTGAATCATATAAAATACATGCGGGATATCTGCAGTTGTATTTAACGCATTGTGTTTCTGGGACAAGGATTGGCAAAACAGTGATTTAGTTCCCTGGTGTCCGTAATACTTGGTGTGATATCATACTATAAGGTGTATGATGTTAGACATACCTGTAACAAGCAGAAGCATAAGCAGAACCAGCAGATAACCAGCGTTATAACGTCCCATCCTGATTTTCCACAGTAGGATGATTAGAGTAGAACGAACTCCTACCTATCTATAGGTTTTCAGTTGTTACGTTGTGTACAATCGCTTCAGTGGTTACTGTACGTAATAACCCACACGTAAGGTAATGGTTGGCTGGGTTACAGGTTACAAATGTCTGAAATACACACATGCTATGCTAATATGGGTCACAGAACACAGAGATGTGTATGTGTGCTGTGACCAATATCAGTATAGCATGTGTAATTCAGACATTTGTAAAGAACCCCTGTAAATGGATAAAGGAATTTAAGTGAAAGGTTTTGAAGCAGAAGAAGTAACTAAATATGACTTATATATTTTACGCTTATTCATCATTATTGATACTTCAGATAAATACATGTGTCTATACCCGTCTTAAAACGAGTTAATCGCTTACTCCAATTAACTGAACAATGCGATATTAATTATTCCTGTCGTGGCAGGTACAGTATAGGCATCCAGATTTTCAGATTTTATTTCCAACACTCAGACACTTGAAAATGTGTAACATGAGGTATATGTACATGAATTCATATACTAAATTATGACAGGATGGACAGGTGCATGCATGTATATGAAGATATTGATATATATATATATATATGCATGATAACATGTTGTAAAAATAACTTTTTCGTAATTAGACACAGCAATGCATACATATATTTAGATAGCCACGCATATAACCAGACCTTTGCATATACATATATATGCACATCCATACGCATACAATGCATACCAACAAACAGACGCCTACATATATACGCGCATACACACATATATTCACAAACATATGACTACATCCCAGATACATACACACACACGCACATATGCATGCATTTCCGTATCCAAAATACTCACATAGTCAACTATTTTACACATTGATTTGTACATATCATTGATATGGACCCATAATGTATTTCAATATTATGGACCTATAGAAGCAACAAGTAATAGTATTATGCTTTAGCTTAAAGTAAAGGAATACATTTCTTTAGAAAAATTGATAATCCTTTCAGAATTTGTTCGTGACATATTGACAAAAGACCTTTCATTTTATTTTCATTTGGATTTGTACGATAGTAATTTGGAACGTATTTTCTTTGTAAATTTTTCACTTCCACATTACTACAAGTAAAAAGATAATGAAATTCATTTCCAATGTTTTCAAGGCAAAAGTTACATATCCTATCTACTTTTGGAATATTCTGCCACCTCCCAGTCTCAATGGGAAATTTCCAATTACTCGTACGTAGTTTGGTAATAGGTAGTCTTATTTTATTTTATTTTCTGACAATTTTATCAAATATTTTTCAAAACCGAATTCACATTTGAACATTGAGTAGAACTCTCCTCTCGACGAATTATGAACTTCGGAAAACCAATTTTGTATAAATTGATCTCGAAGTCTTTGTTTAAGGTGATTTTTCAAGAACATATTATTCATACATATCTTATTTTCAAAAATGTATAAAAAAAACCAGGTTCATCAAAAAACCCTTTAACTTTACTAACCCATTTAAAAAAATATGATTCAGTGTCGTGTAAATTAAGTGCCAATCTCAACAATATACTGCTGAGTTTACTTTCATTACGCGTATCGATTAAATTATTCCAGAAACGTGCCATTCTAAGTTTAATATTTATTAGGAGTGCTAGATCTGATTTTTAAAATTCTCTTACTGAATTTCAGATGCGTCTGCTCTAGCGTTTTCAAATTTTCAAAACCCCACACTTCTGAGCCGTGTAGTAATATTAGCTCTACAACAGAATCAAAAAGCTTAATTTGTATGTCCATCGGAAGCGCATGATTCCGATTTTTTTTTGTAAAGTGCAAATAATGATTTTTGAGCTTGATCAATCAGTTTTTTTAAACCAAAGCTATATGTTTACTGAATATACAAGGAGTAGAGCAATTTGTTGTTTTAACGGTTTAATACCCATTTTGCTATGCAATTCTTTCTTTATCTTGTTTTCCTGGGAAACAATAACTATTTCCAAAGCTCCATAGTGATTTCACTCCCGTGAATGATAGGAATTTCGTACACCCTTTTGTTGCACTGGACAGTCATATACAAAACTGCAATGAGATATATGATTTCTCTCAATCATACACTCCATTCTGTACGTATCTGTAACGCATAGGAGAGTTTCAAATCGACACTGAATTCAACGGTTCAGTTGAGCCGACAGAAATTCAAATATCCCTTTTTTCTAAAACAAACTGTATATGCAACCGTTTCAGCATGCACGTAACACTTTTTTAAAACAGCAATTCACTGCTAACGCCAAAACAATTCAATTTGTAACCTTATAAAGAGTTCTGTAGACATCCTCTCCACTCCGCTGTATTCATTACGTATATAACAAGCTTAAGGACACTTTGTTATTGATCTTTCATATGTAGGATATCCACAATTGTGTTGAACGTATTGTGTTTCTATGGTAAGAATCGAAAATCCAAATAATCGTGTTCTGGTTGTCTGTTACACTTGACGCTATATAATAATTGATGGTATGTTAAGTTAAATATAGAAGATCTCGTGTGTCTAAAACATACCTGTGATAAGCAGGAGCATGATACCAACCAGCAGGTAACCAACCTTACTACGTCCCATCCTGAGTGATATTAAAATTCTTTGAACAGGTAGTGTCCGTGATTACGTCATCGACAAGTAAGGTATAGGTAGGTTGTGTACTCGAATTTCCGTGACGTAGATGTAGCATTTTATTGCTTATTACTAATAACTTAGGACGATTGGGAAATATTTGTATTCTTCATCAAACGAGTAAATCGCTTACTAAATGACCAAGCAAAATGTTAAAGCAAATGTTCCCTATTCTGGCGGGTATGTGCAACAGACGCTATACTTTTCTTCCTCCTCAAACGAGTAAATCGCTTACTAAATGACCAACCAAAATGTTAAATCAAATGTTTCCTATCCTGGCGGGTATATGCTACAAACGCTTTGTCTACAGCAGATAAATGGAGCAGAGGATGATATGGTTGAAAGGTACATACACCATGTAGTTCTATTTTGTTATCTTTGTCTTGTTCGTCTGGGCATGAAAGAATTTTTTTCTTTTATTAGTCGCCATAATTAGCTCACATAATTGTTGTTCTCGTTTTGAGGTCAATGGGGTAAAGCATTATTAATACTGTGAAAGAGTACTACTATCAGGATAGCCCGAATTTCCTCTGGCCCTGACACCGGACTTAGACATTGCCACACCAGACATCCATCTTTCAAAATGTCTAAGTCAGGTGTCAGGGCCAGAGGTAACTCGGGCTACTAAATATATCAGGACTTTCTTGACCTGGACAGTTGAGATGTCATTCAACTTCGAAACTTTTCCGTATATGATATACAACGATCCAAGCAAGTCGACAGATATATAGATACTATTCTCAAATTATATTTGTAACGTTATAAAGGGTTATATTGATAATTACCTCCTCCTCTTGTGTTTCTTCATAGGTTCAGCATAACTTCAGATACACATTTTCATTCTTTTGATCTTTTGAAAGTAAATGAACGGAATGGTCATATGGTACAGTACTAGGATTACTTCGGCACTGTGCATCGACAAACAAATCCTGAAAATTTGCTTTCTTTTCTCATATATTTAGCAAACAATTGAAATGTGGGTTTTTTTCGATTTTTTTTAAACGTTCCTTAAAAGTAATGGAATATTCGAGTGCTCAAATCGCTACGAGCACTATCCTACATACCTATCCAAAGTCGTTATAACACGTATGGCAATAATAAGGGTTAAGAATAATTAAGAATAAAAGGTGAGAATAATTGGAATCCTTATAGAGTTATCAAGAGAATATGAACCCTAAAAATGTGATCAGGGGAATGTGAACCCTTGGAAGGAATATCAGACGGATATAAACCCTGCGAAGGGGATTCAATAAATGTGAGCCCTAGGAGGGGTGGGAACTATGATACTCAAGGAGGGGTATAAGGAGAATGTTACCTCTGATGAGGGTATTCAGAAATTTAAGCGTTTGAGGGGATGTCGAGAACCTCTGGAGGGGATATCAGGGAAATATATACATTTAGAGGAGGAATCAGTGTAACATAAATTTCAGTGTGAAATATTGGGGAAATATTAACATACATTCGTAACAATACCGGGTGAATGGGAACCCTGGGGTATATAAGGAAAATGTGAACACAACGCGCGAGGCTTTTAAAAGAAAATTTACTACTTTTTGGGATATGGCATATCTATGTCGTTTTCGTGCACGTTAAATACTCCTACACAAATATCACATATCTGTTCAGCCAAAGTTATGTATCTCAACCGCATGGTGACACAAACCATACTAATACAGGTTCAGTTAGTTATAGCTCCGGTGTAATCAACCGTAACGTCAGAGTTTATCAGAGGTAAAGAAAAGCCCTTTACAAGTGAGCCTTGCAGGTGTGCGCAATATATTCAGTAACACTCTTTGTGTGTGACTTTATTCGAACATGTTCTTTCCGTCTTCTATGTGTATTTTCTCCTGAAACCTACTCAATATGTATTTGGTCAAGGCTTCAGAATCCCCTAATGCGTTACCTTTTACCTTCTTTTGAATAATTCTATGTGGCGTTTTTTTCCTCTTTGCCTTTTTATGGTAGACCACTCCGTCATACTTCCTCCTTCGTAGCCTGTTTTATTGACTTGTATAATAAGTGATGTGTTTTCAGTTTCAAGCTGCAGCATGTTGTGATTCTGATATAATACCTGTAGTATATCTGCCATTGTGTTTAATGTGTTGTGTTGTTTTTCTGACTTGACAAAACGGTGATCGGATTCCTTAATTGGTGCTTGACATACCGTTGGTAGTATACATGTATGTTAGATAAATAAGAAGTCGTGTATCTAAACCTTACCTGTGACAAGCAGGAGCATCAGAACAACCAGCAGATAGCCACACTTATAACGTCCCATTCTGATTGATATAAATGTGTTTGCCTTTCAAACAAGTAGTATGTAACTGCCATACACACGTAAGGTAATGGTTGACTGGGTACTAATAATCAGTCTAATTCATTGATTCCTTTAAATAGTTTCTTCTGAAGAAAACAATATATTAAGTATTTTTTAAATATGCTGAACTTCCTATTATCATTTCAATT